GGAAGTGGAACAAAGCGGTAAACACTCTGGTGATGAGAAAAGTGAAATTTTAGATTTAGTGTGTCTGATGTGAAGCTAGATATCCTACTGCATTATCATGTGCATGTACAGAAGTCTAGGAAATTCACTTTTTTGAGTTTAAGCTATAGAACACCTTATTGACCTAGATCCTATATGCTGTGGTCCAAAGTCTTAACAGGAAAGTTTTGCATAAAACATGCTTTAGAAAAATCTTCAGTGGTAAGTCACATTTCCTAAGGTTTATCTCTCAACCATTTATCTCAAAGAGGTCTACATCCTATTCTTGTTACTATTCCATATGTGTGTGTCTTTCAGCATTGGTAGCTTCTCAACTGTAGTGTGTTCAAATATTGTTTCTGCCCTGTTTTCCTCTTTTGTTTTGTGGTTCTCTATTCATACTTTTGTCCATTGTGCTTTAATCACAGAACTTCCTTCTGTCCCATCTTTCAATTTGCCTACTACTTTATGAAAAAACTCATCCATCAAGGATTTCAAATTTGTTACTGCTATAGGATTCAAACTTCTGACTGGGCCTATTATATTGTTTTCAACTGTAATCAGAATTCTGGGTTTTACCTTTCATTCTTTAAATGTACTTATTTCCTGAAAGTAAGATGTTTATCTTTCCTACTTTTAAATTCCTCAGATAGATATAGCTGTGTGTCGTTTAAATGAAGATGAGTCTGAAAGAGAACATTAGGATATAGAACCTGAATCACAGGAGCCATAAAATGCACATGACATAGACATACAGTCTCATATCACAAAAGCACGTTTCAGCCAATGGCAAACAGCATTGCTATGGGCACACTTTCAGAGAAATGCAGGCTTATGCGGTCACATCCTTGTTCAACAATCATGTGTCTAAACACATAGGCCTCCCTCTCTGGGTGGCACTAACTCGTGAAACTACCTATAGCAACGCTGTTTGCCATTGGCTGAAACGTGCTTTTGTGATATGAGACTGTATGTCTATGTCATGTGCATTTTATGGCTCCTGTGATTCAGGTTCTATATCCTAATGTTCTCTTTCAGACTCATCTTCATATAGTTTTCTATAATTTTGAGAGAATGATAGCTAGTTCTTATGAAAAAATCCCTACATATATGATTTTTACCTTTCTCTGTAGATAATACACTTTTGTTTCTGATAGATGGGTAGAAAAGGCACCAGTATCTTAGACCAATTTAATCCAATCAGAAACTGATGTAATTTAAACCTGGGATTCAGTCCTTATGAGAATCTGTCTATTAGAAATTCAATTTTACTTCTGAAAATTGGTTCTTTAACGTCTGGAATATTTCCCAGAGCTTAACTTTTGATAGGCCCTGATTTGTAATTTTGTTCCTCTGGTCCTATGAGTTTCTAAAAGTCCTTTCCATTTTCAAAATCTCCATATAACTCTAAGGGAATTTCAGCTCAGGGGGAAGGCTCATTTATTCATTTCTGCTCAGATTTCATCTCTGTTATGCTGTGGTGTTTAGTTATTTCTCCTTGTGTGAGTTTATATGCATATATGCATATTCATGTATGTACACATGCATATATATTCCTATATATGTGTAGAAATAGCAAGGTAAGTTTATATAGAGTAATTTGTATATGGATATATATATGCATGCATGTATGTATGCATACATATTCATGTTTCGTACAACTTTTCCATTGGCATCAGAAGAAATGGTTTAATATTTTAAGCAATACATAACTGATAATTTTATATAGATTTTGAAAGACTTGTTAATTTTAAAATATATACAAATGACTCTAATAAGTAAATAGATTTTATGAGAACCTTTTCAAGTCTTTTACATTAGATTATGAAATATTAAAGTAGATGTTAAAATTCATCAAATTCCAATGCTGTGGTTGTGAGTATCCAGCTTGTCTTTCTAAGCCTGTCTGCCATTTTTATCTATCTACTGTGCCCCTATGTGGCAACTCATGTTTTTATATAGTTCTGCTTCTCTACCTTGTTTTATCTTTATTATTTCCCCCGATTTGAATTTTATCTATGTTTGCTATTCAAAGTAGCACTCAGTCCAATAGCAGCTGTCAGTGCCCAGCGTTGTCCCATGGGCAGTCATGAATATATTATGAAGACCAGCTGCCGGGAGCTGCTATAACATTCTATCTATGGATATTTTCACTTCTGTAAAGCATGGTGGCTCAGCCCACATAAAGGTTCTCAACTAGGATGGACCTCCAGTTATCCATGGTGGTAGCTGGATTAATAATGCTTCCTGCTTTACACCCTTTCATTCACTGGCACATTTTGTCTTTCTTTAGGTATTTATTGGTATCATCTACCAAATAAATAGCTTACTTTAGAATCCAGGTCTTCAAAAATTTTTGAATAATCATAGACAAAACAGTGCTTGGATACCTCATTAGTATGCATTTTGGTTAGCATTTAATCTTTCCCTGCCATAGTAAAATTTTGATTAAAAAATCCCTATGGAAAATACAAAGTTATATTACAGGGAGAAATGTATTATATGTGACACATTTAAGACAAAAATATATTTCTTGGTATATTTGTGAATGTGGCCTTCAAAAACTCTCTAATGTCAAATAATTAAAAAACAATTTTAGATAATAATTACTAACATGTAGTGATTAATGAGAATTTATATTTTAAGTATTAGCCTGTGAGGTTCTAATGTAAATTCTTGATCAAAACAAGATCAGCAGCTTGAAAT